ACGAGGTCATCAGCGCTCAAGTCCTAGGAACAATCTGAAGTGAAAGAGCGAGAGTACCGAACAGAGCAAGAGACTAGCAGGTATGCAGGTACAGGCACTATGATAACCTGTTTCTCTTCTAGGCCGCAGTTATCAGGCTGTTGTCTTTAAGCAGAGCATGGTTCATTGGATCCACAGACGAGAAATGGGTAGCCGCGAAGGGTTGTGCTCGGCAACCACTGTCTGCACCCGCCTCATAGAGGGGCCTCTTACTTCTTAAAGGGTGTAGCCAAGAACACAACCTATACACCTCATGGATACTAGCGAACAGAGTCATATTACTTTTTCGAACGTCGACCCGATTTGCGATGATAGAATCATCGTTTCTTCATCAATTGTGGCAAGTTTTATATTTAAGCCATGTTTATACACTTAGTACAGAATCAATAATTGGAACTAAAGAAATTGGGATACAAACAGGCATTTGACTAACGACGGATTGGAGGACAATAGCACTAGTCAACCAGTAACGTTAAAATAAATAGGTAAAAAGTTGGAACTCACAACAATGATTTCAAAGTAGGCCGTTGCTAAGAGTTGACCATGCCCCAACTACTGCCTCTAGGCGGATGAATATGACCAAACCCTTGGCCACCACCAACTACAGGACCAATACAACTACAACGCGTAGTTGCGCTTACGCAGAACAAAAACTGTCATTAAATGATAAGAAACTTCCCAATAATTAGTAAGGGAGGTTTGGGCAGATTTACATAAATCATTTGACCAATTGTAAAAAACTGGGTGGCCATGGTGGGATCGGAATACAGGCCAGCAAGGGAAACTTTTTAGTACGGCCAACGCTCTAGCCGTCCAGCTTTTCACAATTGGGTTTAATGCACCTTCTTATCTATTAATTTATGAGACTTGGTTAATTAGTGTGAATAATTCATCTGATCTGTTTGTAAAGAATTTTGTGGCTTCGGTGGGATTCGAACCTACGACAGCAAGTGAAAAACTTGAAAACGGCCAACGCTCTTACTATTGGAGCTAAGAGGCCCTACCGGGAGCCGCGGGCTCAGTTTATCCGCTCAACATAATGCAGCATACTGCATCCACCAATTCCGCTGGGCAGCCAGCTTACATGATCAGAGTTAGCAGATCACATAAGTTGCAATAGACTGAGTGGGTAAATTAAACCAAATGGTATTAAACTTATGGCTCACGGTAGGGTCTCGCAGTTCAAGTGGTTAGGGCGTTTGCCATACACAAGCCTTGTCCTTGCTGTCATGGGTTCGAATTCCATGGAGGCGGCCGACTGTTTCAAAATTGGGTAAAAGTAATTCGTAATACGGTCACAGTGATAGGTTTTAAAGCCAAGTGCGAACATTTCGGCTTCGACGGCAAAAGTGCATTGCATGAATTCTGTTTTCCGACCTCATGCTATCGAGTAGGCAAATCACAAGGTGTTTTGCACCATTTGACACTAAGCCAAGAACATGCAAATAAACCATCTCACTATCCGAGTTCGACTGACATTTGTGTTTTGTTTTTATCACCAGGACCCTTGCATACACACCGGATTTGTTCAGTCAGACTGTTAGTGCGAACTGTCTGTTAGTTTTTTAACTGTTAACACTGCCCCATCCGGACCCCGTCTTCGCGTCCATAAATGTATAAAAAGTATTTTTAGTGGGGGCCATAAATTTTGTGGTGGGGTAAGAGCTATGCGGTAAACATTACGAACGTCTGGTGCATTGTTTAGTCCACAGAAGAGGGCGTCCAGAGGCTAGAAAAGGTAAATTTAGTCAATCGATTATAGAAAACAGCAAAGTAATAATATCAGCCAAGCAGAATTCGCATTTAGAGCGTGTTTAGATTTTTGTAGAAGACGGATTACTGCTTTCCTCGCTATAGAATATTGGATGAGCACAGCCTAGCAGGCGGTTGTCTGTCCATGCCCGCTTTCACGCACTAGGAGCACGGTAGGTTTGGGGAGGTAATGGGTTGGTAAGCGCTTTTTCATATGTGTTAAGATGTTTGTTTGGCTATTAGAGATTCAGAGATATCCAAGAAAAGTTATTAAGATTTCCGTATTTACCGGTTTATAGGGATATTTTGTGGAATATGTGGTTATTCTAAACATAAGACAGGCGGACAATTAGTTTACTCGTCAAGGTTATAATGCTTCCGGGGTTTTTTCACCGTAAACCATGTCGGTGAAAAAACGTCGATGAAAACACAACGATAGCTAATTTACAAAAAATAAAGTTGAGTTGTGTTGACTTTCCGCCATTAAAAGTGGCCTGAAGTGGCGAAAAAGGCAAAGGAGACGGATATGGCAAATTTTGGCCCACTAGCCGTCTTCAGTCAGCCCCACCCAAATCCAGGATAAGAAAACTAAAAATTCTAAGTTCATGTTTGGCCATTGAGGGTGGATTAGAGTACTCTTCTATTGAGCCATGGGTCATAGTCCTTTCAGCTGGGATATTCTGGACCTTCTAGAATAACCGTGATCGTATTGAACAGGGCAACTGGCCCGTAGCCCAATAGTGAAACGCCACACTGAAAAAACGCTCGGTAACAAAAATCAAGGTTTGAATCTAGGGTTTGTAAGACAGCCATGACCATCACCGGATCACTGGTCTTTATTGATACTTCTTTTTCCATATAGTAGTAGTCGTTGTGCATGTGTCCGCAGTGGCTTTGGGTTAAGTCTCGAGTACAGCCGATCGAGCAAGTCCTGTAATTTGGTCGTTAACTGCATTGCCCACACTAATGAAGATGGATTTGTTTCCTTTTTCGTGTTTTAAAATGTAGACCATCTGAAATCGACCCATGTTTGGATGACTGCTCACAGGCACGGACGGTTGCTTGGAATTTACAATTTTCAGAAGAGACTCGGAACTGCCAAAACGGTGAAAAGAATTTCAAATGAATAGACCCAAATTTTAAGTGTATCAAAGCCCCTCAGTGCCCATTATTCAACGAATATAATAGCAGAAATCAAATGGCACTTAAAAAAAATATTTTCGCACCTTCAAGTTGAATTAGCCCAAACAAGAAATTAACTGCTGTGAACGAAGGCTATACAACTGTCCAAAATTTGAATATCCATGACAGGACGGCTTCACAAGAAGTTGCTATAATTTATCCGTTTTCCCAATGTTCCAGATGTGGTTGACCGAATGGCATTACAGGCAAAGACAAGGAAGGGCGGAATGGACATTTCCTGTATGTTGTTCGTCATTAGCCAGTCATGCCCAAGCGTAAGTGTTGTAACACCCGAGGCTCAACCTCACGACTTGTTGATTAGAAGTCCAACGTTCATTGAGCTGCAGGCTCGTTGTCTTGTCGATTCCAATCGAGAATATTAAAAATGGTAGTATGGTGCTCATCGATCGCATTACAGAGCATATTTCTCCTGCTGGACCTTGGGACACAACACGAAACCGTTCTTTATTTGCGTATGTAATACGTTCTTGGGCATCCCTGCTTAACAACTAGCTGCTTGGATAATATTCGTAGACCCACCGAAATGGAGTATCGTAGTCTAAAATAGCGTAAGCAACAACGGCCTTCAATGTATAGCCTCTTTTCGTGTTTGCTAAGGTATATTCTTAGTCTTCCATTTGGATGTGTTTCAGAAGGGAGACGTTTTGGAGTGCATTTTCTCGTGAATAGAAAAAAAGCATTGGTTGTTGACCACTATAAAATGCGCAGTCAAGATAAAACGCCTCGTTATTTACTGTTAATAGTCACTGAGCCCTGCAGGCCACACGAATATGTTAGTTATACGCGGATTAATGCGGCCTGCATCAAGGATGGGCTCAACATACTACACAATTTTTTGAAACACCCCAGAATACTATATGTTACCATAAGAAGTACAATAAGAACTCAGGAACTGCTGATGTCTTGCGACAAACGGGAAAGTCATCGCAAGATGTCACTCCGGATGTCAACGGCAACGCAAATGTCGCGTCGCCTTTGGGTGGTTGCTCCAGAAGATGTAGCCGGCACCCACCTTCTTCAGCTAAATCTCCTCGGAGAAGTGATTTTCGCTGAAACTAGCGATTACCATTTTGTAGTGCGCTACTTCTCGGACGACTAGCGGTTTTCTGTTCAGGCCACTTGTTCGTTGCATTGTCTAAAAGAGGATAAAAATGCTAGGCTACCAGTTTGAGCGGACTCGCTTAGCATCCCGGAAAGTTCGGTGGGGGGG